CCCCTCAGTAATACCAGCCATATTTTAAGTGTAGCTAGGTCTACAGCCATACGGAGCTGGGTCTACTATACTTTCCATCAAGTCACTTCTTTGCTCTGAAATATGGCTATTCTCCTGGATCTTAAGGCTCAATACATAGCTACCCCTCAAATTAATAAAGTATCAATGACAACATCCCACTACCTCCAGTTACTTTCCTTCCTTTTTTTAAAAAAAAAAAAAAGTCCTCACCGAGGACATTTTCTCCATCAGTTTCACGACGTGAGAGAGACACATTGACTGGTTGCCTTCTGCATGTGCCCAGACCAGGGCAGGGAACCTGCAACCGAGCTTTATGTGACCTTGACTGGGAATCAAACCCGCTACCCTTTGGTCCACAGGCCAACACTTTAACCACTGAGCCAAATCAGCCATGGCAGTTATTTTCCTTCTTAACCTGTCAAAGTTGCTAATCATTGGAAAGTATCAAAGCTACTCATCTCCTCTATCCTTCCAACTAGTTCCACTTGGCTTTCTCATTTATCGATTTTTCTCTTAGCTTAATTCTTCTTTTTACCTTTACAGTTGTCTTTTAGGATTCTAACTTACTTCCATGGCCTAAACTGTCTGTCACCCTTATGGATTCCCAAATCTTACATCAACCTCTCCTCAAGCCCCAGGATTTTGTTTCACCCACATACTTGCCAGTTTTTCAGACTTATGTTCTTCTCTATCACCCTGTCTCCCCAAACTAGGACCACATGATCTCCCTACACCTTTACCACCACCATTTTCTTACACTCAAAACCAGTCCTCCTTGACTTTTCCTCCTTACATTTAGTAGTCAGGCCCTTCAAAATACCCACCTTCAGGCTATCTCTTTACCATTACTCTAGTTCAGATTATTATCCCTGGGAAAACTGCAATAAACTAATCCAGTATTTCCCAAAATATGGCACAGTCAACGTTGGCTGGTGGTAGGTGAGATGTCAAGCAGTATGCATTTGTGAATTTTTTAAAATTTTATTATCTGTATTACTTTAATGTGCATCAGGAAAAACACTAGCACACATCAAACCTTTGATTTCAAGTTAAGAATTGTGTAGAGCAGGAATAAAACAACTGTGAAAACGAGTAAATTTGAAGAAAACACCAATGTAGGTAGCAAGTGAAGATGGCAAGTCCCCAAGTGGCATGCAAATGATTGAAATTTGGGAGTCATGGTCTTAATAGATCACTTTGATAATCTGCTTTCCTTCTAGTACATTCTTAACTCAGTTGCCACATTAACTCTTCTCACATGCTGTACAGACCACAACATACCCTTGTTCGAAATCTCTAGCAGCATCCCCATCCCCTACAAAGTACAATTAGCGTCCCTCCCAGCCTGATTTCAGCACACACCTATCCCTACTGTCTAAATCTACCTTTATAGACAGTGTCCTTCCCATCTCTATCTATGTCTTTATTCTTTGCGTCTTTTTGACTAAAATGTTCAATGTCCACTATACCTCAACTAAAGTCTGCTTGTCAAAAATCCAATCTTTTGGAACTTAATAAAAATGAAGAGGCGAATTTTAGCATGTTTATTAAGTACCTATTACATGCCTTCCATCTTTCCAAAACATACCCACAGGAATCATTCCCTCCCCCCCTGAAGTCCCACAGCACCTTATTATTATTTGTGGTACTTATCACACATCATCTTTAGCTTTATATACAGGTTATCTCTCCTACTAGATTCTGAGCAACCTGTGAGTAGGGATAGTGCCTCCATCTTTACCTCTGTCCCCATCTTAATATCCTGTGCCTAGAATATACCAGTAAATGCCAGCTGAATAAATGAATCTGTACCTTAATCTCAAAGGCAGGAAGAAGTGGTACAGACAGAAAAAAAAACAAAACCCACACCTGAATTCAAGTTTTAGATCAGAGAATACTTCTCTACCCGCCCCTATCTGTTTAAAAGAAAAGCAAATTTTGCCCTGGCCACTGTGGTTCAGTTGGTTGGAGCTTCGTCCTGTACACCAAAAGGTGGAGGGTTCGATCCCCGGTCAGGGGGCGTGGAGAAGCAACCAATTGGTTTCCCTCTCACATTGATGTGCCTTTTCTCTACTCTCCCTTTCTCTCCCTAAAAACAATTTAAAAAAAAGAGAAACTTTCAAATATATACTGTTGAAAAACTAAAGTACTAAGTGAACAACGCTTAAGTGCTTAGTTAAGTACAACCAAATATTATACCACCCAGATTCAATCGTCTCTGCTGTGTAAACTGGAATAGGAGTTTCCAAAATGCTGATATTTAATTTTATTTATTAGCAGAAATTTATCTTATTAATGCATGTAATAAATCATTACCACTCTGTGCATATTATTTGAAATAGGCATGCTTGGTTTAGTTTTTCCAATAATTATTTATCACTTGTCTCATATCCCACTAGCACATAGTAGGAGGCAAATGGTAGTAAGCTTCAAATATGCAAGAAAGGTTTCAAGAAGAAAGCATAAAACTGTTGAAAAGTATATCCATCATGTATTTTTCTGTGACTTGGGATGATCAGTTTTAATGGTAATATATTTGGGTCCACCGAATGTCCTGAGGACGCGCGCCATTTGAACCACTGGTAAAAGGGTAGAAAATGTGTGTTGGGAGGCATTTCATTGGTCTCTCGACCTTGCTCAATCAAAGAAGGAGAACCTGAAGAGAGGATGGAACATTCCAGGCGGGATGACTTAAGAACCGGAAGTAAAAAACTTAGATGATCTCATTCAGCTTGAACAATAAGACTAGAGCTCCTCTAATAGTCCACCACTCTGATAGATCAGTAGAGTTTAAATGTCAAGAAAAAACAGACACACACAAAAGTGGCTTTGATTATGTAAGTCAGAGGAGGGAGCGCCTACGATAGCTGTTCCCCACATCACACCCCCAAGGCTCCTTCTTAGGGACAGCAGCAGCTTTGTCAATGATACAAATGCAGGATGGCATGAGGCTTCTGGGACCTTAACACTTTAATTTGGGGTGGGTGTAGAAGAGAATACATAAGTTGCTTTGTGGCCCCCCCACCCATGCTAATGCCTTGGGGACCAGCCAGGATGACCCAAATGGAATCCAGAGTGAGACTGGGGCGTTGGGTTCCCCGAGGAAAGGGGGCAGATCCAGAACAGAGCAGAAACCGTGGTAATTTATCTGTATGAAAAAGTAAGGAGACTCTAGGTGAGAAGGACTAGCATCAATCTATACAACTTGGGAGACAGGAAGCAAAGAAAAAGGAAGAGGCAGCAGGAGGAATGATAAAAGAGAGCCAGACACCATAGCCTGAGTCAGCTGGCTTCTTTTCAGAGTTAGTGGGAAAGATACCAAGAGGCAGATTAGCATCAGGATCAGGGATCCACAGCAAACAGGTGAAGTCCCCAACAACTCTTTTTGGTGCTTTTTACTTTGGCTTGCTCTGGGACTAAACTTTGGGAATCAAATTCAATTTGTAGATAAACTCGATTATCTCTAATTATGGGTGTTTCAATATCAAGGCACAAATCAAACACACCCAGGAGGTCTGAGTTTTGTTACGTATTTAGAGCCCCAGTCACTGGTTCTCTGGGTCCCTATTTCCTTAGTCCTATGATATGATTCTACCTTCAGCAGTATCCCTTCTGAGAAGGCTAAATTTGAGAAACAAATAGAAAAATCATAGTGCTGTAATGAAGGGACTATGAGTAAAAATTACATGTAGATTAGGATTCTACACTGATCCAAGATTAAATGCCTCCCCAGTTTTTGCCAACAAGTAACCAGCACCAGTGTTTTAGAGAGGAAGGTGGAGATTCTAGTGTCCAGAGGATAAAACCAAAGCACACTATGCACAGTCTATATCCCCGCTCACCCACAAGCCAAGGTCCCAGCCCCATCTGCTGTCAGATAGTTACATAGAGGTCATGTCATTGAGGGCGTGGTCCAGCTCCTCGCTAATGGCCTTGTACTTCAGTTTCTGGGCATAGAGCTCATCTGGACAGGCACAGGAACCACAGGGAGGAATGAGGGGACAGAGTGAAACGTATCAAAAGCAGATGAAGAGGGAATCATTAGAAATTAGGGAAGGTGTGACCGTGGGTCTAATACCACAGTTAAGAGCACATCTTTACTGGCAGCCATAACTGGCCATTTTCAGATCCACTGTCCCCCAGGACAAACTGGACTTCTTGACTCTTGACACCTCCAATCAACTACAGCAAGGGTTGAGAACCTGGGCACAGTCACGACTAGAAATTCCTATTACCAAAGGCACTCAAGAGGTTCCTACTGCCATCTAGTTAACCCAATTTCTAGCAGTGAGAATGTTTAATTTAACAAAAATAAAAAATAGAGAAAGTACAATTAATATCAGACACTTCTCTAGCTGCCAAGCATATAATGAGTATTCTTGGCCCCTTTGCTCTACAAGTTGCCTCCCCAAACTCTCCCAAAGTAAGAATATCCTGCTACCCAGAGTATACCAAAGGAGCATATTTTAGAGTTCTCAGAGCAAAGTACATTTACCCTTGTTAGAGAGGACACGGTTACCAAATTGTGGGGACAGAAGTATTTACAAAGCCCATGGCACTGGTCAGCTCTGCGAGATGGTTATTCCACAGCTGCGTCTCTTGCAAAGGTAGCCCACAACTTGAGTGAACAGGGTTGCCAAAAGTAGCCATGGAATGGCACATGTTCTCACTGCTTTCTCAAAGTATGGCTACTAAAGATTTAAGACTACTAAACTGGTGATAAGTGCAGCCATAATCAGCCTCCATGGGAAGGATGTAAATTCCAGAATATTAGCTAAAGTCTTAGTAAAGGAAAAGATTAAGTGTAGACAGCCAATTCTATTCTAGGGTTTGACCCATTTCAGCTAGTTGTAACAGGGCACAGGCTGCATGCCAAGCCACTATCAACTCCCTCTGGTATCCAGGGAAAGGGGATAATGGTAATGGGCAAGGTCTTCCCCTGTATTTCTGTATTTTAATTCCTCTCCCAGGCTCCATACCTTCCAAATCATCAATTGTCTTTTCCAGCTTGGCTACCGATCTCTCAGCAAACTCAGCACGGGTCTCTGCCTAGGGAAATATGAAACCCGTCAGAATCAGAGATGACTAAGACAAATGAGAGAACCCTTCTACTTCTATACCTTTCAGAACCAACGCCAGCCAGTCTACATCACGCCTTATATACCTCTGAATGTTTGGGTCCTTTCCCTCAGCTCACCTCCTTGAGTTTGTCAGTAAGAATCTTTATCTCTTCCTCATATTTGTCTTCTTTTTGAGAGTACTGCAAGAAAAGTAGAATAAAAATTTCAGAGTAGAAATTATTCATACAGATAATACATCCCCCCACCCACCCCAGTCGCACATTTATTCTTACATTGAACATCTTCTTGGATATAATGTGCTGAATGGTTGGTCCATAACAAAGAGCAAGGCCCATTTTTGGACAATAGGCCCTTAAAATCCACAAATCAATGTGCTAAGAGCCATGATACCCTCTTTCTTAAAGGGGCCAAAGCTTTGATCTTATTCAGATCAACTCAGGGGGGGTACTTTTCCTTCCTTCTACTTAATGAGTAGGTATAGTGACACCCAAGGCCACATGGCTAAAACAGTCCCACATGACGATGAAGACAAGTCTTCTGTTTTGATTGCTTAGTAGGTCTCAATCTGATACTATCTGTTGCTAGAAAACCTATTAGGACCCATGATCATTGTCATTCAGCACAGCAGTATCACGCTGAGAACATGACCCCAGGCACCTGAGACCATGATGTTATTTTAACCAAAGCAATCAAAGTGCACAAGAATTAACATTAAACCCAGAATCCAGATAGAGGGTGGGTGGGTAAGAAGAGGACACTTCTCACTGGATTATAAGGAATGAGTTTCTCCAGTCTTTCGTTAAGGGTAGGGCTGGGCCCAGGCCCCCAAAGCCTGTTACTTTCACAAACCAGCCCCTACCTTCTCCGCCTGAGCCTCAAGAGACTTGAGGTTGTTGGTGACATTCTTCAGCTCCTCCTCCAGCTCAGAACACTTACTGTGAATATTTTACATACCGCAGAAGAAAGGGGAAGAAGAAAAGAATAAAAAAAGGGGAGAGAGACACACAGACATGAATTGAATCTATATGTGGAGAGTTGGAAGGCATACTAGGAAAAAGAGAAGGTCCCAGGTAATCTGAGTAACAACCCTCCTCCCTCTACCATAGAACATGTCAGGAGCTAGGCCCTCAAGGGCTAGGGCTCAGAATGTTTAGATATCAATAAAGAAAACACTTGAGAGAAATCACTACCAGGAACAAGTCTACCTGGGGTGGAGGTAGGAACAGATAGATGCCCAACCCAATAGCCCCCCCAAATTGCCCAAGGGAAGGAGAGACCCTGTGGAGGCAGTGAAGCAACTGGGAAAGAAAAGATGAAAGATGCTAAGAAGTGGAAGAAAAGAATGGAGCATTCCATGAAGAGATGAGAAAGCACTCAACAATCAACCAGTGGAGGGAAGGCAGCTGCAAAACAAAAACAAAACCACACCATACACATAACCTCTCTGTGGGTTTAATGGTTAGTACCTTTTCTTCAGCAGCACTCAGACACTTCAGGTTCTGGTCCATCAGTCTGATCTGCTCATCCATCTCTCGGCAACGGCTGTTAGTGATAGTCACGGGGATCGCACAAGCCAGGTTGTGGGGAGGGAGAAAGGTCAAAAGGGAACACAGCAAGAAAACAAGCAGCAAAACGGAAAAAAAAAATTTTCAAAAAATGGGAAGCAAACACCACCATGGTCATGATATGTCATGTATGGGGAGAGGGGAATGTAAGGGAAGCACAAATATATATGCACCAGCACTAACTTTGTTATGCAAGGCCCAGTAGGTGCCAACAAGAAAGCCATTCATGCTTGCCCTTGCCCTAAAGGTAACCAGCCAATGGGCAAAGTGGTAAAAACGGAGAAAGACTTTAAGTCAGTACAGCCACTTCAATGCCTCAAGGAGAAACAGACCAGGTGGAAGGACTCAGTAAGGCCTTCCAGTTAACAGTTCACCATTAGTCTTCATTTTCCCATATAAACCCTCCTTACAAGAAATAAGAAAGCCTCAATGTGTCACCTGTCACTAGTCAAGAGAGTAAGAAAGTCCAAGGCCATTCATAGGGCCTAAAAAAGCACTATAATGCCCTCCCCAGGCCCTGTTTAACAAGGTTGAATGAATGCTAGCTTATTCACATTAGTGCCCAAGCCAAAGGGGAAGGGACAGGATGTAGGGCAAAGATATGGGGAGCAAGATACTCACGACTCTGCCAGCTCAGCTCGTTCCTCTGTGCGTTCCAAGTCACCCTCAATAATCACCAACTTACGAGCCACCTGTGGGAGACGACCGAGGTACAGCTCAGCAAAGCAAAGAAGGAGCTATTTCCCTCTCGTGGTTCTTTTCAGAACCGCAATGTCACTCATGAGAGCAGGACAAACAAAAGGTGCCTTACCTCTTCATACTTCCTATCTGCCTCTTCTGCAATGTGCTTAGCTTCTTTGAGTTGGATTTCCTGGAGTTCCATCTTTTCTTCATCTTTTAAAGCTCGGTTTTCAATAACCTTCATACCTCTGTCAGAAACAATATGGAAAAATGTGGCATTGACACTCAGGAATTTGTCATCAGCTCCACTCCAAGGGAAACAGAATTGCATGTATAAAAGCAAGCATGTATTCCTCTCTGCTTGCCACTCAAAAAGAATTCCCATAACACCCTCACCTTAGTTCATTTTGTTTTAAACCTTTATAAAAATGATACACACTTGCCCTGGCCAGTGTTGCTCAGCGGTTAGAGCATAGGCCTACGCACTGAAGGATCAGGGGTTCAATTACTGGTCAAGGGTACATACCTGGGTTGTAGGCTCAATCCCTGGCCCTGGTAGAGGAGTGTGCGGGAGGCAACCAATAGGATAGATGTCTCTCTCTCACACTGATGTTTCTCTCTCTCTCCCCCTCCCTCCCATTCTCTCTGAAAAATCAGTGAAAAAAATATCCTCAGGTGAGGGTTAACGAAATTAAATATTTAAGAGTATAGTCTTTGGGCATAAAGCTTGAAAAGTAAGTCTCTCCGCTTTTAGTCCTGCTCATCAGAGGTAGTCACTTACTTCATAATCCTTCCAGAAATGTCTTACAGATAAAATGCAAAAAAAATTAAAAAATCTCATCCTCACTTTCCCACACCAAAGGGAATCATTATACTACACTGTTCTGCAACTTGTTTTCCTCACTTTCTATAATTTGGACATTACTCTGTAGCAGTATTCACACAGCTGGCTGTCTTCTTCATTTTCACAGCCACACTGTGTTAATGTGCTCCCAGTAGGGCATTTTTAATTCTGAAAAGCCTCAGTTGATCCCACTCAAGTCATCATACACCTCTGTTCTAGTTTAACTCACATATGGCAGGAAGCCAACTGGCTGTTTTCAACAAAGATAAGTTGTGATTTGGTTCAAGAACTACGATTCTCAACTCAGAGCACAGATGAAAATTATCAGAGGAACTTTAAAAACATCAATGCCAAGGATCCTGGCATTATGATATTTTAAAACTTCCCAATGATCCCCACCCCTCACTCCCATGATTCTAATAGTACAGCCAGGGTCAAGAGTTTTTTAAAACACTGATTGCTGGGCTCTACCTCCAGAGTTTCTGATTCATAGGTCAGGGGTAGGGGCTGAGAATCTGAATTTCTACCAAGTTCCCAGGTAACACTGTTCTGGGATCTCACTTAGAGAAACACTGCTTTAGAAGAACTAACCTCACAAATAAGTTTATGATTCACTAAGTGGAAGTCATCCTGGTGACCCCGTTTAAGGATCAATTTATAAAGAAAGCAATTACAAAAGGGTTACAGGGTTCAGGTAACCCTTCCTTACTCTGTCTTAAAGTGGAGAGAATATGCAGCATAGAAGTAATGAGGATCCTGTAAGACAGCTATTTTTAAAAATAGGTCTATAAGGAAATCTTGATCAGAGCCATTATGATTTCTTTTGAAATGCACGCTCTACACACCTCTCGCTCTCATCTGCAGCTTTCTCAGCTTCCTCCAGCTTTTGCAGGGCAGTGGCCAGGCGCTCCTGAGCACGGTCCAGCTCCTCTTCAACCAGCTGGATCCTACGGTTCAAGGAGGCCACCTCAGCCTCAGCCTGCATTTGAGTAATGGAAAAAGGAAGCAGAGGCATGGTGAAAATGAACAGAACTAGGACAGTAAGACTGGGACTGACTACCAGGAAGGAAGCCAGTGTCTAGCAGAGTAGAACCTGTCTTAGCTCAGATGCATGTAAGATCTAGCAGATGTGATTATAAAGATTATACATTCTACCTTCTTCCATAAATGAAATACTGTATGTGTCCACAGGAAGAGTGTTTTAAAACTCAGTTCCTTGCCCAGCCCCGTGTCAGTTAGTACCAGCCCCTTTCTGGACTCTGTTCAAACTCCTGAGTATCAGAAAAGGTAGCCAGTGAAGGGTTCCTTCTGCTGAGCTCTGGCTTAGAGGTGTTCTTTCTACTCTTTTAAAAGTGTCTCAAAAATGGGAATAAATAAGCAAGGTTTCTCAAACAAGGAATCTTGGATATTTAAAAAAAAAAAATTTTTAAAAATCCTCACCTGAGGATGTTTTTATTGAATTTTTAAATTTTTTTTTTTTTTTTAAGAGAGAGAGAGAGAAAAAAAAATCAAATGGTTGCATCCCATACATGCCCAGACCAGGGATCGAACCTGCAACCTTCTGGTGCACAGGACAACACTCTAATCAACTGAGCCACCCAGCCAGGGCAGATTATCTATTAATTTGCTGCTTAACTCAAGTTTTAAATCCTTTGATTACCTTACCCTGACACACCAGAAGGATGACTAGCCAAGAGAATAATGTTGCCAGAATAATCTTCCAAATCAGAAAGTGAAAGAATGATCCACTGGGATACCCACACTCACCTATTTAAAGTTGATAACAAGGAGATTACCTGCTTTGATGATATTACAAAAAGAACTGGGGGCAGAAGAGAATGTCTTCTCCATGCCCACCGCCACTCCTCCAAATTTCTGAATTGTGACTCCCTTCTATTCCCCTTAGCCCCATGATCTCACCCTCCAAGTACAGTTTAGGACAATCCTCTCCTAACTTCCACCCCATAATCAAGCATAGGCTAGAGCCCAAGAAATCCCATGCTTCCTCCTTGGTAATGGAATGAGAAATAAGGAAAAGAGGCAGCTGCATGTGGATGAATTTTACTGGTAGAAAAGCCTCCTTCCTATGACTGTTTTTCCCCTCCCCACACCTTTACTGGCGGCAAGTATGCTGACTGCCACAACCATAGAAGAATTTAATCTGCCCTGCATGCTACCCAGTTCAGATGCTTATCCAAGTGCTTGGTAAACACGATCTCTCTTCTACAGCCCAGATTGTACTTGAATTCTATTACCCTGATTTCCTCCTGGCAGTCAGGGGTGGGGGCAGCTATAGAAATAATCTGGGCCACTAGCCCCTACAGGGAGGGATACAGCCCAAAGACTCCTATTAAGAATCAGGTTAGCCAGGCTGGTGTGGCTCAGTTGATTGAGCATTCTCCCAAGCACCAGGAGGTCACAGTTTAATTCCGGGTCAGGGCACATGCCCCAGCTTTGGGGGGATGTAGGAGGGAGCCAATCGATGTTTCTCTCTCATCAGTGTTTCTATCCCTCCCCCTTCCTCTCTCTGAAATCAATAAAAAAACATATTTTTAAAAAATTAAAAGAAAAAAATAATCAGGTTATTTGGGCCCTCCCCAGGTAGTTTAGCTGGTTAGAGCATCATCCTGATACACCAAGGTCGTGGGTTCAATCCCTGGTCAGGGCACATACAAGAAACAACCAATGAATGCATAAATAAGTGGAACAACAAATAAATGTTTTTCTCTCTCAAATCAATAAATAAGCCTGGTCGGTGTGGCTCAGTGGATTGAACACCAAGAGATCACTGGTTTGATTCCCCGTCAGGGCACATGCCCGGGTTGCCGCAGGCTCAATCCCCAGCAGGGGGCGTGCAGGAGGCAGCTGATCAATGTTGATGCATCAACGTGTCTATCTCTCTCCCTCTCCCTTTCTCTCTCTCAAAAAAAAAAAAAAGTTATTTGACACAAAAACTTCCAAATACAAACATGGGAGGTTCAAGGGATGGGACTGGGTTGGGGGTGTGTGTGTGTATATATATAACCACTAACCTACAGGAAAAAAAGTCTATATAAGCTGAATTTACTAAGAAACCATTTGTGTCTCTAACTACACTATTCAAAACACCACAAAGACAAGTGTCCTCTGGTTTTGTCTCTTTCAGGAAAACAGATGTCTCCTTGGACAACGCACATTTCACCCCACAAATTAAAAGTCAAAATTACAAGAACAAGTCAGGTTATTAGGCAAGAACTATGAAAGACTACCAGTATAATTTATCTGACTCCCTCACTCCTCAATGCCTAGAACTAAAAAAATGAAGAATGGAAACAGATTTGGAGGAAGCTCATTTAATCTCAGTCCCCTTCCAGCTCACCAGCAGTTACCCAAAAGGAGAGGCTAACAGGCTATGGGGGCTGGGTGCAAAGTTTCCATGACAACAAGCTGGCTCGGGCAGTTTCTCCCACACATCAGCATTTACAACAGAATTTTTTGCAAGGCTGAAATGGGAGGAGAAAACACATCTTGGTACCCTCACAAGAACATGTGCACATTAAATAAGCCTGTATCAAAAGCAGAAACCAAGACCGGAGTCCCAGCAAAAGCTTTCAGACCCCCCCCTACATACACAGATGCACTCACCCTGGGGGGCAGTGGCTGTTCTCCTGTTTTCCCTCCTCCCCCAGAGGATCAGCTCTCTTTAAAATGAAACAAAAGCTTTGCTGAATCAAGACCTGTTACTATGTTTAAAAGGAAAGGAAACACACTTGACTTTCCTTCAAACCAGAATCTACACAAAATGCCTGTCAAGCAGTCCTGCCAGGACACTGAGTGGGACTAACTTCTGCAAACCAGAATGGGAATCATGGCCCTGGGAAACGTTTCATGCTATTCTAATCATCCAAGGTGTAACATGCCCAGATGTGGTTTTGATTTTTCAGCCCACCCACCTCTGCCCAGCTTGGAAGATATACTCTGAGATCCTTCCTTCAGGTGATAATAGAATTCTGCACTATTTGGGAAGCAAATATCCCAAGGGGAAAGGAAGGGAAAACAACAGCAATCTGGATGCCTGCGAAGATGGCTGACAACAGCTTCAGTCATGGAATGAGTTTGGTTTGAATACTACCATCCTTGCTAAAGAAGCTCCCCCAAGCACACCACACCCCTCAAGGCAAGAAACTGACAAGGCACTGGTGCTGGGAGGTAGATCAAGGCCAAGGACAGAATGGGACTAGCCTAAATCTGGCATTCTGCCACTCTGGGGTTTCTCTTTTTAGACAAAAGCCACAGATGAAATTCAAAGGAAATGAGTAATGGAAGTTAGACTTGAGCCCTGAGAGTAAAGGACTGCTCTAGTTCACTGTGTTCACAAATGTATCTACCGTGGGAGATACTGTGTCCTTGGGGACTTTAATTTCACCAAGGGGAAGGCAAGTTGGAAGGGAGTAGAGCTATCAGCCCCAGAGTAAACAAAGGTGGAGTCTAAACGGAGTCTCTCAGAGCAAAGGGCTATTTGCCTCTCCCCTATGAGTGTGTGCTCTAGTATGAAGGGAAAGTGAGGTAATCAGCAGGAAAGCAAATCTGAACCAAAGGAACGTGATAAAGCCTGTTGCTTAGTCCTCCAGACCCATATAGGAGAGAGCCACACAACAGTCAGACATTCTAACCCCCTCCAGAGACTAGGAATTTGGTAATAAGGTCAGAATTGAAACTTCTGTTCAAAGCCCACTGACTCCCTCAATAGGATTCCTAAATTTTTTTAGACCACAAAAAGAAGAGACAAATACCAGAGGAGTTCGGAGAGAGGTAAAGTAAACTATACAATGAAAAGTGGTTAAAATGGTGCCCTGGCTAGTGTGGTTCAGCTGGCTGGAGCACCATCCAGTACACCAAAATGTGGAGGGTTCAATTCCGGTCAGAGCATATAAGGGAGGCAACTGTTCAAAGTTTCTCTTTCTCCCTTCCTCTCTCTAAAAATCAATGAAAAACGTACCCTCAGTAAAGATTAAAAAATAAAAGCAGTTAATAAAAGGTAAGTTTTATGTATGTCTTTACCACCACCACCACCACAGCAAAAAAAGACAAGGAAAAAGACTACATTTAAGTATTATGTTGCCATCTGTTTAAGTTCAGTGCAAACTGCATAAAGTGCAAAGGAGACTCAGAATCGAAAGTGGATTTGACACGGTGCTATATTATAAAAGGTCAATCTCCAGCCCAAAGCAGGAAGAGAAGATGGATGGCAGAACAACTCCAAAGTCTCAGCTCTTGAGCCAGCCAGCTTCTTAACAAGGGTTGGATGTTCACACAAAGCAACCAGAAAAATAATTAAGTGACAATCTTACTAACAGAATGTGATACCATCAGGGAGTGCTGAGCTTCCAGCACCAATGGGAGGTGCCTGCAAAACCCACATTCCAGAATGTCATAAGAGGATAACAGCTAGCCCAAGCACTACCACCACCACCACCCTCCCACAGGTATCTCCTCCTCTGGAGGGGTTCAAAGTTCACTAAAGCAGAAAATCAAAAGATTAGGCTCCCTCAAGCTGGGGAGTAAAAGATACTAGTTTCATCAATATTTAACTATCACCCTACTTCCCCATCTGAGGACTTCCTCCCTAGACCTCAGCTCAGTAAGCAAATGTAGCAGGCTCTGAGTGAAGGGGTTGCTCAAGAAACATCTGAAGCTGCTCACTCTGCTGCTTATCACCATCACCAAAGGTGGAAAAAAGGGAGCCAGATTTTCCTAGAAGGAAAATCACCAAACCCTGGGAGGCATGGGGTGTGTGTGACATCAGTTCGTCCTAGACCATTCCTAGGATGCCTATACTTAAATGTTGAGCCTAAGACTGCAACTCAACATATGGCTAGTTCCTTCAGCCACCCTCTCGCTTCCCCTTTAAGGGGATCTGGTCTCCAAAATAAAGGAGATGAGAAAGTATCCCTAGACATAAAAAGTTACCCAGCCAGTCCATCTCACTTCAATTGATAATTAGAAGTTACTGGCATAATGAACAGAGGAAAAACCCACTGCAAAAAAAGTGACTAAGACAAGTTCCCAACATTTCCATGCCCGGTTATAAAAATAAATGAGTATTCTAACAATCTTTAAGTATTAATCTGGAGGGCAGCTGCTCCACCCTCTTTACCCCCCAAAATATTAATTCTCAGCCATTCCCCAGAGGAGCAACCAAAAAGAAAAAACTTACCAAGGAAAAAAAAATAACAGGGAATACCAATAAAACCCTGAGTTCATTGCGATCTTCAAATTTTAGCAACAGTTACTTCCCTCTCCAGCCTCACAATCCTCCAAAACCAAAGGTTCACCTGGGGGGGATCAGCTCCACCCACTAGGCTGCACCCTAGAACTTGGAAAAATCTTATGGCTCATTAAAGCTACACCACTACTTCTAAACAGAAAGCGGTTTCAAGAATCACCAATCATTCCATCAATATTTTATGTCCCAACTTTGCGCTGAACAAATATTTATTGAACTTAAGGGGAAAAAAGGCATTGGTGGATAATTGGGAAAGTGACAGTAATATCACTAAAGCCACCTAGGACCTCATTAATCTGTCTCCATCAACCAGTGCGTGGTCAATCAGAATCCTTGACAGAAGTTGGCACTCCATCAGACTCTCTGCAACATACGCTTGCTTATCAGCTCTGCTTGGAAGAAGTTCCGGTTCCGCTTGCACTGATCGATCACACTTCAGCAATAAGGGCCTGAATGTGGCAGTGGTTCCTGCCTTCCAAGTCCTCATGGGTAGGGCCAGACACGTTTTTACGGCTCCTACATTTGCACTAAAACGTAGGGAGTTTAGTACCACTTCCTCCCCTCTCGCTTCATGTCGACTGAGAGTGGATTTGGCAGTTGCAAGGGCTCCCGGTAAGGGGAAGGGCCCCAGGCCGGAGGATGGGAGGCGGTGCTGTGGCCTCAACCTCCTCCAGGGAGGGCACGGCGCTTCCTCTCGGCCGACTGCTGCCTCATTTCCTGAGCAGGAGGAGGGAGCGGAAAAGCTGCCAGCCAGCCAGGCCGGGGGCTTTCCGGCGGTTCCCACCCCAAAGCCCCACCCTTTCACAGTAAGCTAGGCCCTGCCCCTCCCAGACCAGAGAAGCACCCACCTCTAGCCCCTTGGGCCGGAAACCTCAAACGAGAGCAAAGTGACGCCCCCTTCACGGGGAGTGGGGGAGGGAAAGCCTGCTGAGCCCCTCCCCCCCGGCCGCGCCCGGCTTCGAGCGACTGAATGAATGAGCTGGAACAGGAGGAAAACCACTTCCCAGCCCCGTATGAGTCAATTCCTTTGGAGGTCGAGCAACCAGTCCCCCCTCGCCCACTTGAGGTCCAACTTGAAAGCAAGCTTCACCCATCCTCCAGGCTCCAACTTCATCTCCGAGTCCACCAGCCCCCTGAGGGCCGTGCTCCACAGCAAATAAAGGGACCCAGTTCCGGGTCCCAGCTGTTCCAGTGCCTGCCCCTCCCTCACGCGCCTCGCCCTCTCGGTACCTGTTCCCGGGCCCGCTTTTCTCCCTCCACTTCCCGCTGGAGGCGCTCGGCCCTCTCTTCTGCATCATCGGCCTGCTGCTGCAGAACTTGGATCTTGCGTTTCACCGCCTCAATGGTGGTGATCCCAGCCATGGTGCCCACCCAGCGCCTGCTCTCGTTCGGTTTCCTGCCTCCTCCGCTCCGCGCTGCAACCGCTTCTCGCCCTACTTCCGCCTGCTCCGCCCTGAAATACCGGAACTCACTCACCCGCCCGGATGTGACGCCACAGCCGCCGCGCCCTCCCACCGCCAGGCAGGCGGGAAGACCGGCCACTGGAGGGACCCCCGGGGGGAGCGAGGGGCGGCACCTCCCAGTTGCCCTAGGCGACCGCTCTCGCTTTCCCTTGGGCCAGTAAAGGGGGGCGGGGTTGGGAAGGAGGAAGGCTACCATGGTAACCCGAAGGCGCTCGGGGTCTTGCTGACTGGCCCGCAGGGCTGCCCGCAATGGTTGGCCTCTTACCGTGATGGCTTTCCACTCCCACAGTTGGCCCCTCATTCCCCCAAAGCTGACCCACCACCGCTTACCCGCTAGGGCACCCCAGATCTCTATAATATAAACATCCCACAAGCCTCTGCTTCCATCCATCCCATACCGGCTCCAAAGCCAGGGGCTAAGAAAAGCTTAGACTTTCTGGGCCTCATCTTCAAGAGTCCCACTCTGCAACCTCCTTCCAAACACAGCTCCGGTAGGTTCTCTCCCCGCTTCTGAAAGCCAATGGAGGAAAGAATGGGTGCAGGAGAGATGAGCAGGTTGGCAAATTTCTCCTTCTGCTTGGGATGAACTTAAGTGTTCTATTTAGAATACTAGTCTTTCCCTTGTTACTTTACAGAGTCAATATGCACCAGCGATTTACCAACCTGCCAGCCCCTCTGTACCTTAAATGATTTGGGACTTGGTAATTAATCATTGCTTGTAATTCCTTTTGTAGGTGAAGAAGGTCTTATGCCTCTATTTTATTAGGAAGAAATCCTCTATTATGAGACAGGCCAGTAAGCCAGGACAAGTGAAATAGGGAAAATGAGACAGATAAAGGGAAATTTGCAGCCATCTAGTAAATCCTATCTTTCCTAAACCAACGACACTTAAGAATAAATGGTTTGCATTTCTTCTCCCCAACCAGAGGGTATATAGCTTAAATCACCCTGCTCAGGGAGATGTATAGCAGAAATCCAATAAGTACAATTTGCCAACCACACCCAAGAACAGATGGAGTTAAAAGAATAAATCTTATTTTGGTACATCAGCATAAAGCTGATGAATATTCTATTAAGATCCTCTCCTAAGACCTTCCCTAAATGCCTAGCCTTTAAAATTCCTCAAAAGGAAACTCCTAGCTAGTGTTTTCCCTTCCAGGAACACACTTGTGCCATTCACCACCTTCTCTCCCCACAGGCATGCATCTCCTAATCCCTAAGGAGTCCCATGAGGCTTGCAACCAGGGCAGCAATGGGAAGTTCATCCCAGGCAAACCCCCTGAACCTGTCCCCAAGGCCCCCTTTTCTCTGACTTCTTAGTGAGCCAAAGCAAACCAGCCTAGGCTCATTTCCCCAACCCTTTCTTGTTTCACTGTCCCCAGCTTTAATAAACGTCCTCTAAAGTTCACCTGGACTCATGTGAAATCATCCCTGCACGAAGTCAAGAACTCACACACTACTAGCAGACCCTATGCAGACCCACCAAGGGCCAGGTCCCCTTTCCAGTAACACCAGATCTTTTGTACAAGAAGATATGAGTGCCTGGAAAACTGTACTGGGGAACTGAGCCTCCATTCTGTGTTATAACCTTCACCAATTTCACTGCCACTTCTGTTTCCAGGTGCCCCAAGGAGCTATTTATGAGTTAGAAACTGTCCCTACAGGCACTGCAGTGCAGGATTTTTGGAAGCACAATAGTAAAAAGACTTGAAAATTTTACATCTTCCTCTTATTTCTTTGTATTCCTCCCACCTTGCCAGTTACTAATAGTAATAAATCTCTCCTCTGGTATTGTTCTCTTTTGCCCTAGAGAATTAGGGTGTGGAACAGGAGTTAGACTCCTACATTTAAAAACAAAATTTTTTTTTAAAGCCCGGCCAGTGTAGCTCGGCAGTTGAGCATTGACCTATGATCCAGGAGTGTGGTTCCATTCCAGGTTAGGACACATGCCTGGGTTGCCAGCTTAATCCCCAGTGGGGAGGAGGCAGCCGATCAATGACTCTCCCTCATGTTGGTGTTTCTCTTTCTCCCTCTCCCTTCCTCTCTCTCTCTGAAATCAATAAAAATACACTTAAAAAAAAAGAAAAGAACCCTAGCCCCTGAGAGGATTGGTAGGTAAGACAATCGCTGCCCTCAGTGCCTGGTTCTGTGACACTCCTTCTGGAGGCTCTGTCTTCCTATCTCCTTTTAGAAATACTGAGAAATGAGACTATTCAGAGGAAATGACTCAGACAGACAATAATTTGCTTGGTAGAGTAACCTGTACACTTTGATTTCTGCTCCAGGAATTGAGAAGGAAGAGCTTCAGTCAACTCTACCCTGGAGGCCTAAGAATTTTTCCAACTCTCTTTGGAAAAGTCTGATCAGAAGGTCTAAGGAAGCAGAAATGAGACTGTCATCTGGGTGCTGGTCAGCAGGGGGCACTAGTATACCTCTCTTTGCCCCAGTGAAAAAGCAGACCTCATCTTAGACAAACCAAAGGGGTGTTGAGAGCACCATGCATTCCAGAGGCTGGTAGATGTGAACAGATAATCTTCTCTTGATCCAGGGAAACAGGTGTATTGACTCTGATAGCCTTTAAAAGCAGGATGGGTGGGCAGAATGGGGTCCAGTGCTATTGTTTTCCTGGTGACCAACAATACAACAATATATCAACAGGTCTGTCCCTGTCCCTCCTCCTCCCATTCCTCCCATCTCCTGTCTTAAAATAGGGTGTAATGACTCTATGGCCTAACCATTGCATTCCTCTTTCCCCTTGCTGTACCCTAACCAGGTTCTAACTTCATCTCTTACTGAAAGGACCTTAGACGTGGCTGCACAACAAAACAATGTGAATGTTCTTACTACCACTGAACCGTACATTTTTAAATGGTTAAAATGGCCACTTTTATAAAATTTTTATTGATTGATTTTAGAGAGAGAGAGGAAAGGAGAGAGTGAGAAACCTCAATTTGTTGCACTTATTTATGCATTCGCCGGCTGCTTCTTGTATGGGCCCTGATCAGGGATCAAACCCATCACCTTGGCATATCAGGACAACGCTCTAACCAACTGAGCTACCCAGTCAGGGGTAAATGGCCTATTTTATGTTACGGATATTTTTCCACAATTAAAGAAAAAGAAAATCTTAGACGAACTCAGGGAGGAAAAAAAAAGAAGTTTGGACTAACCTTGCCGTACACTTGACATTTCTTTGTTCAACAGTCCTAGCAAATCCTGCACTTCCTGGCAAGGTTTCTCAGATAACCAGAACTGCCTGTGTAACCATGCAGTTATTGACTCTCTTCTCTCTCTCCCCCTTATCTACATCAAAGTAATATGCTCTGTGTACTTGTTTATTAATCTCAAGGGCAGAAACCAATCTGTGAACTTCCTCTGTACTGGACAGAGCACTCTCCGTGCAAAAATACATATATTATGTTGCTGATGACCGACCCTCACTGTCTCCTTTAAACCTTGTTGCCTTCTCCTTATTCAGGGCTTTGCCCAATTATTATAAATACCTCACTTTCCTTCTTTGACCCTTTGAGGCAGGAGTCAGCAATTTTTTCTGTAAAGGGCCAGGTAGTAAATATTTCTGGCTTTGCAGACCATAGGGTGTGGTGACTACTCCCTTGTAGGGAGAAAGCCAATAGACAATGTGTAAGTGAATGGGCATGGCAATGTTCCAATAAAACCTGTACAAAAACCAGGCTGGGGCTAGCTTTGCGCAGTAGCAGCATTGTATTGTAGCCAATGAGGTTTATCCAAGGAACAAACATTGCTCCTCAGCCTTCCTCTCCTATTTCTTGTTCTGCATACAGGTATCTCAGATCTCTGAGGGTACTTACTGAATTGGTGGGATAGCTAACAAAGGTGAGAGAAGTTGAATGAGTTTGTTTTTTTAACCCATGGTTTACATATTTAAATGTTTTGGGTGGGTTTCTATATAAATATGAGAAGTTTTTTCAAATGAATATATATATTCATTTAATATATATACTCTCTCTATATACACATATATACAATATATACATATATATATGATGAATATACTGAGTATGCCTAGGTGGGGATTGACGTGCATGTGTGTGTGTGTGTGTATCAGGTCACTCTCTCTTTCTCTAGATCTCAGGTTAGACTTGTTTGTTCTCTTCATTGCTCCTGGAAACATCTGCTCAAACCCGTATACTGCTTGAGCCTAAGGATTTTCCCAGAGATCTGTTACCCAACATCTCACAAAACTGTTATCAGCCTGACATTGTGGCAGTTCACAAAAATTATCCCCATGCCTGTTTATTAGAACCAGAGAGATCTATCCACTTATACCTGAAACCTAGGTTAGGCAACTCCAGCCAATAGCTCTAGGGGTAACCTGTGTTTTTTGCAATTTGAAGAGAAGGGTGAATTAATAGTTTTCAGTGGCATAAACTTTTGGAAACTATGAATATGTGTGTGTGTGTGTGTGTGTGTGTGTGTGTGTGTGTATATATATAATGTATATGATCCACTTAGTGTCTCTGATCTCTGGCATGGTATATTTAATAACACTCACTACTTCCCCAGGCCACTGAAAGTGGTGGAGAGCCATAGAGGAGATCAGAAACCTAATAGCAAAGATCCCAAATGTGAGAATTCTAAAATATTTGTGAATGGCCTACTCTGTCTTTCTAGCTATTTTCCAAAACCAAATGTAATTTTAAAAAGCACATGTTCCTATTTTCCTATTAATTCAGTGCCGAGAACTGACTATTTCCATCCACACCAGGATATTCTTTTGTTGCTGTTCAGATTCACATAGCATTTTTCTATGCAATCTCTCATTTATCTTTGTGGTAAACTTCAAGGTTGAAGGTGAAGGAAAATAGGTGGTTATGGGATAAAATTAAGTGGAAAAGAGGATTTATTTCATTTTCAAATGGGAAAATTCAGCCATAGAGAAGCCAAGTAATTTAGTCAAGGTCACAGAGTAAGGTCTGGTGGTGACACCTTTACCCTCT